GACCCAGTCATAGCGGCAATCTCTGGCAGCCACCTGCCTGGTTGAGATGGAAACGCTGATTCCAGCTCCAGCCCCCAGACAGGCTAAGAATATCTCAGGCGAGCAACAGCCCCCACCCCCGCCCTTCTTGATCTGCTCCTACATCTGTAGTGCTATCCTGGGCGCCAGTGAGGATATGGAGTGGGGGTGATGCTTGGAGCATGGGGCGAAGGCGAGGAGGCCAAAAAGAGGCTTGGTGCAGGCAGGAGAAGGTGAACTGAGAAAGGCTGGGAGGATTAGACAGAGAAAGCTGTTCTCAGGGGCAGCGAAGGAAGGTGGAGGCAGGAGCTGGGCAGCTGAGGAGGAAGGTCAGAGATGAGGACTGGAGAGGGCTGGTATGGATAACTAGAAGGGAGACATAGCTCCCCTGTTCATCAAGGAAGGAATCAACTCGTGGCAGAGAAAAGGAGCCTCCAGCTCACCTCTATTGTTTCTGTTCCCTTCATTCTGCTACCTCTACCATCTTAGCATTGCTTGATCCCTTCTTTCTGCCCTGGGGCATGGCATTCCTCCTGCGTTCCTGACCCTATTCCCTGTTTCAAAGAATCTGTGTTTGGGCTCCTTAATTAAGTCCTTCTAGCAAGGAGCTTGCTATTTGCAAGGAAAGAAGTGAGAATGTGGGTGGGGTCTCCTTGCCCACAGTTAGTGGCACCTCCTTTGTCAGTATCATCTCTTTGATCACCCCTTCTCCCCACCTTCCTTTTACCTAGGGAGGGGTTCTACTCCCCTCCACCTACCTACCCAGCTCTCCCGCAGTAAGGTTCTCAGGAGAGGGAGGGAGACCTGGGTTGGTGCATATCTCCCCTTTGCACATCTCAGGAACTGAGGGTTGGGGTTAGGGGTGAGGAGCCACAGAGCTGGTGAGGGTTGGGAAGCAGGATCCAAGCATCAGATGCCCAGGCTGGGTCTCCATCCTGGCTGCTTTAAGATTCTGTGTTTCCATTTGACTCTGTAGAGGCCCCTGGAGACATCAGCATAACAAATGACCAAAACCTGGGGTCTCCAGCTTTGATGTCTATGGGAAGACCCTGGACCTCAGCCTTCCCTCCTGTGCCTGCCCATCTTTTAGGGCTCCTCTAAAGTCTGGAGGGACCTGGGAAGATTTCCATTACTAAGAGCCAGAGCTCCCTTCCCTCTCATCACCTGGGTTGAAYTGCAGAAGTACAGGCCTCACAGGGATGCTGTGCACACAAAGACTGAGCCTGTCAGACAGAGACAGATCAGGGAGAGCCAGACAGGGTTGGAGCTAGAGAGCCAAACAGATTGGTAGGCTAGATTCAACTTAGAATCCGAATCATAGAATTGGGAGACACTTTAGGAATCCTCTTTCAGTTCAATTCCTGAAATGTTATTTTATTCTTTTAATATTCATTTTTGTCTGATAATAAAACTAAAATGTATAGAATCTTTGCATTTTAATATGAAGAAACAGAGGTTCAGAGAACTGAAATGACTTCCTCAAGGTCATACAACTGGGTAGCAATGGACTAGAACTCCTTCTCCCACCCCCTAGACTGTGGCCCTTTAGAGAGGAAGGAAGGCAGTGCCAGAGGAAGGAAGAGCCGGGCTGCACTGCCTGGAGACATTCCCTTAGAAACAGGGCTCATTACCCAGGCAGGAATGTGAGGGGATCATCTAAGGTGAAGCTGGTGGTGATCCTCAAGGATAAACCCTGTACTGCTATCACCTCAGTCTGGGCCTTTCAGCTCCTGGTCTGGGCCTGCAGTTGTTGCCTTGAGCCTCAGAAACAACCAGTAATCTGGACAGGGCGCTGTTCTAGATAACCTAAAGAGACAAGGGGACAGACAGGGAGCCAGGCCTCAGGAGCTTTCCCATCTAAGGGAGTCTGACATAGCCAGCCCATCCCCGAGGAGCATGCAGGAAACGGACAAGAAGCAACATCCAGACACTAACACATAAGGGGAAATCACAACATACAGACCTTAAATATAACTCAACCAAAAAAGCACACTGGCGGGAGGGGGGTTATGGCTCAGCAATAGAGCACTTGCCTAGCATGTGCACGAGTGCTATCCTGGGTTTGATCCTCAGCACCACATAAAAATAAGGTATTATGTCCAACTACAACTAAAAAAAAAAAATTGCACTGGCAGATTGGCAGATGTGGCAGGAAAGTCATTGCCCTTCTGTAAATTCCACCTGCTCCATGAAGTCTTCCTGGTTTCACTACCTTTATCTCCTTTGGTCTCCACCCTGTAGAAGTAAAACCTCCTTCTGGCTCATCCATTAGAGCCTGCAGCTTACATATAAGAGCAATACTATTGCTCTTTGTGGATCTGTTTTAATTAGTTTGTCTTTTAAAATTCATTCCAGTGACCCAGGAGACTGAGGCAAAAGGATCACAAATTGGAGGCCAACCTCAACAACTTAGTGAGGCCCTAAGCAACTTTTTAAAAAATTATTAAATTAAATTAATTATTTAATTACTATACCCCCTGTCTCAAAATAATAATTTAAAAAATGACTGGGGGTATAGTTCAATGGTAAGCACCCCAGGTTCAATACCCTGTACTCACGTCCTCCAAAAAATTCTATCCATATTCATATTGCACATCTTGGAATGGAAATCAGAGTCTAGCCCTTAATCAGGTTGTTAGGTAGCAGCTGCTGCTGAGTGTAAGAGGTTGTAGAGGCTGAAGTCAAAGCATTTGGTTCCCTCCAATAACTCTAGAAAGACTCCCTGGAGAAACAGGGATTTCAAGAACTTGACAGAAGGCAGGGTGGTAGTCTGAGAGAGAATTCTGGCCAGAGCAGGAGCTCAGAAATTGAGGAGAGAGGCATTGTGTGTGAGGCAGAAAGAGGGTCTGAGGCAGGACAAGGCAAAGAGTGAGAAGGAGTGAGACCCCTGGAAGTACATGGTCTCGGGATCCTGAAGCAGAGGAGGCAATTCTTGATCCTGATCAAGAGAACAATAGGAGGTCACAACAGGGCCTGGAGTGGGGGTACCATGGTGGTGATGTCCGTGGTGCTGCAGGGAAGATCTTGTTCTAAACATTACCAGCAATAGGCCTTACGTCAATGAGGGACTCCTGGGAGCAGTGCTGGGAGGACCCACGTGCCATTCAGATTCACGTGCCCAGTGTTTCCGCCAGCGCAACTCAGTCTCTGTGGGGCCTGTCCTTAACTACCGGTGAGCCAACTGTTCCTTGGGTGTCAGATAAAGGCTGACTCAGAAGGCCTTGTAGGAGGAAGTGGGGCCAATTACAGGAGTTGAAAAGAAGGAACATTTCCCTACAACTGTGGAGAGAATAAGAGATTGAGCAGGCCAGCTTGGGCTGCAAGAGAATAAAAATCAGATCCAAGAGAGCAGGAGCAATCCTGTTGAGAAGGTACACACTGGGTACTGAGTCAGGAGGAGGTACAAGTCTGAGTGTGACTATGGTACTCAAGATAGCCAGGCTGCAGGATTCCAGGAGGGTGTGAATGAGTAGGGGCCGGGAAATTGATAAGAAAAGCTGGGGCTTCTGGTGGTTGGACCTGCAGCCCACAAAGATTCTGGAAAAGCCTATCTAGAATGAAACACACACACACACACACACACACACACACACTTCAATGTGTGCACAAACTGATCTTCATAACAATGGATCCTTGGAGCTGTGTGGGTCCATGAGGCACATAGAGGCAACTCCAGGGACAGTTCTGAGGATTTTACCCTGTAGACAGTCTTCTCTCCCCATCAGGCTCATACCCACCTCCAAGGCCATTTAAGAAAATAGAAGTCTCCTGTGTTGGGAAGCTACAGAGAGCAGACCAGGAGACGGTGCTACAAGGCACATAGAGCTAGCTGGGCTAGGGATCTGCAGGTAAGGCCCAGAGAGTCCAAACTCCTGGACAAAGATCTGGTGGGCACTGAGGAGGGAACAGACAGACCCAGAGAGAAATGGGTAGGACCTAACCAAACAGCCTGCAGCTGGAAGTTGGGCAGCAGGGCCTGGGCAGCAGGGCCTGTGCAGCAGGATGAAAACCCACCTCAATTTGGACTGGAGTGGAGATTGACCAACCCTCTTAGGCCTCCTTCCACACAGGAAGCCATGTCCTCTGTCCAAGCCTGATCTCAATTTTCAGCATTTCCCCAGGGATCAATCATCCATCACCCACCCAAATGTGAATCAGTGTGTGCTGGTGGGGACAACCAGGCAAGACGAGCTGCCCAGGGACCACAGCCGCAAGCTCAGCTGCAGGGACATATTCTGAGGGTCTTGCTCCCCTAAAGCAAAGACCCCCAAGAAGGCAGACTCTGACCTGCAGGAAGTCTCATCATCGGCCAACACCCCCTCACAGGCAGAGCAATAATGTGCCTGCTGACAGTCCTTCATAGTGGCGGCGGGGGGGCGCTGAATCGACCCGACGGCCAGATTGGAGAAACCATTGCAGTGCCAAGGAGCTGGGACCTGCGCCTCTGGATGAGGGCACTCACTGCCACCCTGCCCTCCTACACATAGATGGGGGCGGGGAAAGGAAAGACTGTTCCCATGGCTTCTCTGCTACCGCGAATCCAGTGCATCAAAACAAGCTGATCCACCGCCCTAGGATTTGGAGAAGGTGGTGGGAGCAACCATTCTCCCCACGCCCTACCTCTGACCCAGAGAGGGACCCTCGAACGAAGGCCACCTCCTGCCCCTTGCCCACTTTTCCCCTTCGCGTGAAAGAAAAGGACCCAGGACAGAGGGTGGGAGCTAAGGCGGGATTTGAGATTGATATCTGATATCCTATTGGTCAGAGGAGCTGCCGGTCAGAAGGGCATCTCGGTGAGGATTGGCTGCGTGAGGCGGGGCGCGGCGGGGCGAAAGAAGGGGCCTAAGGGGTGGGGCTGACGCTGCAGCTGGCGCAGCTCAGACTCTGAGCAGCCGCCGCCGAACAGCAAAGCAGCTCCTTCCCCCGCCTGTCCGCGCGCGCGGGCCGGGGCTAGGCCCCCCACCGCCGGGTCCCCCGGGGCTGCAGCAGCAGCGGCGCCGCCCGCGGTTCCCGCCGGGGCCCGGGCGCCGGCCCCGCTCTGCAGGATGGGCACGGTGCTGTCGCTTTCCCCTGCCTCCTCGGCCAAGGGCCGGAGGCCCGGCGGGTTGCCGGAGGAGAAAAAGAAGGCGCCGCCCGCGGGGGACGAGGCGCTGGGGGGCTACGGGGCGCCGCCAGTGGGCAAGGGCGGCAAAGGCGAGAGTCGGCTCAAGCGTCCGTCCGTGCTCATCTCGGCGCTCACCTGGAAGCGCCTGGTGGCCGCATCTGCCAAGAAGAAGAAAGGCAGCAAGAAGGTGACGCCCAAGCCAGCGTCCACCGGTCCTGACCCTCTAGTCCAACAACGCAACCGCGAGAACCTTCTCCGCAAGGGCCGGGACCCCCCCGACGGCGGTGGCGCTACCAAGCCCCTGGCTGTGCCAGTGCCCACAGTGCCCGCGGCTGCTGCCACCTGCGAGCCACCGTCGGGGGGCAGCGCTGCAGCCCCGCCGCCAGGATCGGGTGGAGGAAAGCCGCCACCGCCACCACCCCCAGCCCCGCAGGCGGCGCCGCCGGTGCCTGGTGGCTCGCCGCGGAGGGTCATCGTGCAGGCGTCCACTGGCGAGCTGCTCCGCTGCCTGGGCGATTTCGTGTGTCGACGCTGCTACCGCCTCAAGGAGCTGAGCCCTGGCGAGCTGGTGGGCTGGTTCCGCGGCGTGGACCGCTCGCTGCTGCTGCAGGGTTGGCAAGACCAGGCCTTCATTACGCCCGCCAACCTGGTGTTCGTGTACCTGCTGTGCCGCGAGTCGCTGCGAGGGGACGAGCTGGCGTCGGCCGCCGAGCTGCAGGCCGCCTTCCTCACCTGCCTCTACCTCGCCTACTCCTACATGGGCAACGAGATTTCCTACCCACTCAAGCCCTTCCTCGTGGAGCCTGACAAGGAGCGCTTCTGGCAGCGTTGCCTGCGCCTCATCCAGCGGCTCAGCCCGCAGATGCTGCGGCTCAACGCCGACCCCCACTTCTTCACGCAAGTCTTTCAAGACCTCAAGAATGAGGGCGAGGCTGCCGCCGGCGCCGGGGGTCCACCGAGTGGGAGCGCGCCCACAGCTTCTTCGGCCGCCAGGGATAGCTGCGCGGCCGGAGCCAAGCACTGGACTATGAACTTGGACCGCTAGGGATACCCAGGGGCCGTGCCCGCCCCCCGCCCAAGTCTCCGACACAAACTCGGACCCCCCTCTCCCCCGCCCCCGGGACTCTCAAGCCACCGCAGGTGTTACCGCCACTCTGGGCTGGGCGGAGGAGGAGCCGCTCCTGTCCCGCAGGGGAAGGTGGAGGCTAGGACACCAGAGGCCACGGTGTCTGGATTTGCTGGGCGTGGGCTGGGAATGGGGGATGAACACTGGAAGGGCACCCCAGCCTCATCCTTTCCATCTGTCAGTGTCCTTATCTCTTCATTTCTGCCGGGTTTTCCCCTTCCCTGCCGTGCGTGTCTGTAAGTCCATCTCCCCTGTCCCCCCACCCCCATTTCTTCACCTTTCTGTGTCTTCATCTTTCCTCCTGTCTGCACTTTCATCTCTCCCTCTACCTTTGCATTCACCGTTCCTTGGGTGTGTGTTTCCATCTCCACCTTACCCCCGTGCCTGACTGTACCCCATTGCCCCCGTTTTTCCTCCTGCACCTGTGTCCCCATCTTCCCTTCTTGATCTCTTTCTCCTTGCTCCTGTCATGTGTGAATATTTCCCCTCCTGTTTGCCTTCCCCCTCTCCTTGTATCATCTTGCAATTCTTCCCCTGACTGAGACCCCTTATCCCCCTCCCCAGATCAAAGGGACTGTTAGTTTTTAATTTGGACCAACTGAGGTGCGACAAGAAACTGCAGTCCCAGGCGACCAGACAACCACCAGAATGGCCCCTTGCCCCACCCCCACCTCCTCTCCCCACCTTTTCCAACGTGTTGCATGCCGGGAGTTGGCGGGGGATGGGGGCGTGGAGGGACTGCTGGCTTCTTTCAGGAGGCTGAGATTTGGGGCAAAATCAACCTGCGAGAACACCCCGGCGGCGATGCCTCAAGTGGGCGGGCGGCAAGAGAAAGAAAACTCTACTTATTTTGAGGGAGGGGCGTCCCTCTTCCTTATCCTTAGGTTTCTTGTTATCCCTCTCCCCTTTTAATTTATTTCACTGTTTCCGGAGGGAGGGGGGAGGGGGGTTGTTGGGCCGAGAACTGTCCGAGGTGCTGAGCTGGGGAGGGACTGGAATCTTCCCGGGAGAGTACCAGGAACTGGGTTGGGCCTGGGGCCGTGTCCAAGGTGCCAATGATGCGGGCCGACGGCGCGGGCCGCACTGTCTGTCTGTCCGTCTATCCCGGAGAGAACTATAAAGCGCTGGAAGCGCCTGCACATGGTTTTGCGCCGGCCTTTCTTTGGGCCCCTGGAGGGAGGGAACGGGACCCCAAATGGAACTGTCACTGGTAGAGCAGGAGGACCAGATATAGGGGTCTACTGGGGAAGGTCAAGTTCCTGAGAGCTGCTACCTGCTGACCCCTCCCACATCAGCTTCAATTTTACAGAGTAAAGTGGGGTAGCCAAGGGTTGAGGCTGAATCCACAATTCCCATCCCAGCCTCCATCTTGTCTAACCTAGCTCCTCATAAATGCCCTGGCCACTTAGAGACAAGAGGTAAGGACAGTAGAAGTCGTTTCCCTTCTATTAGGTGACCGCTTGTGGAAGAATTAACTAGTCACTATTGCTGCTTTTCCTTTTTCCCTACCATATAGTGGATCTAGAGTCCAGTTAGGTCGGTGTTCACCGTTCCCGAGTGGGGCCTGATGGCTACATTCAGCTACCCCACCCCACCCACACCCCCACATGTGTCCAACCCTCACCACTACTGGGCAGCTTGGAGGCTGCTTTGGTTACAAGCCCACCCAGGGCAGTCTTTGGAGGCCCATCCCTGCTTCCAACTCAGACCCTGAGTCAGGGAGGCACAGAGATGAAAAGGGGAGACGAAAGCCGTTCTTCAGCATTGAAGAGGGAAGATGAGCTTTTGGCTTGAGATCCCTGCTCAGCCTCCATTGCCTTCTTAGCTGCATGGCAAATGGCTAAGTGCTCTGGTTATTGTTCCAATGGCCCAAGGAGGCCTGGCTTCAACAGAGCTCTTGAGGCTCTAACCCCGATCACCACCGTGGCCTAGAAGACCCAAAGAGAGAACCAGGAGGGGTTGGCTAAGACCAGGCCTCAGGTTCGCTGTCCGTGGTGCTGACAGGCACGTTTGGGCAGGGTGGGGACTTGTATGGGCAGGAAGAGTTGGGGACTCACTCGCTACTAGATCTTCTGGATAATTTAGAAATAGGGTGTCAGGTATTTTGATGGCGAGTTACAGAAGTCTGGCCCGAGACCCCAGCAATGTCGCTTCCCACTTGCCCTCCTGAGAGATCAGGACTCGGCCTTCATCCGGCTTCGGCCCAGAGCTTTAGCACCAGGCCTGGAGCCGGAAATCCTCAGTCCAGATTTGTGAATCGAGCTGGGGGGGGGGGGGGGGGGGGGGGGGGCGGGGGGGGGGGGGGCGAGGGGGGAGCTGGCGGAAGAGAAGGCGGGAGCAGCCGCCCATTGGCTGGAATTTGGCGCAGTCAGCGCGGTGCCGTCATCTCTCCCGGTTTCGGAGGAGGGAGGGAGGGAGGATCACTTGGGTCACTCCGCGGCTGTCGCCATAGTAACCAGACTGAGAGAGCCGGGCCGCCTCTCTACTCTCCCACTTCTGGCAAGGGAGAAACAATCCTGGTTCTCTAATTTGGAACTAGTTAGCGAGACTTGATTGAAATTTCTGAGTTAGAGGAGCCTAAAGGGAGTGATATGGAGAGCCCAGGCAGACCCGCATACATCCTGCCCTCCGGAGGCCTCTAAATACTGCCCCCAACCCACACGTAACACCTACACCTACACACACACACCCCTCTTGGAATCTGTGGTCTGGTACTGTGGACCCGGAATGAGTAAAAGGCCTTAAGGAACGGTGTTAACTTAAATCTCACCTTCCTTACCATGCCCCAAAGCATGAGCCACTACTTTAATCCGATTAGCTGGGAGGGACTGTAGGAGGATCAACACGGAAACCCGTAAGAATTATTCTCCTGGGTCAAACTTGGTTTCTCCAAGATGGTCTTTTGGGGAGGCAAAGGGAGAAAAGAGTACGTGTAGAAACAGGATAAGATGACTTTTCTTTACTGCCCAGGAGTGAACCTGGGGGAGGTGAGTCCAGGCTGGTGAGGAGGTGGTGAAGAAGGCCCAGAGTCTAGAGAGCCGGAGGAAGAATGGAGATGGAGGATGGGAGACAAAAACCCAGCTGGAGCCGTGACTCAGCACTTCCCCTCGCAAAGAGCCGGGACCACTCTTCCAGCATAGGGGCAGCCAAAGCGGGGAGGGGAGGAGAACAGGAAAATAAAAGGGTGATAACTGGTGAGCCACCCCTTTGCGTGATCCGTGCCGATACATGCATTGACACATAACCAAAAGGGCACATTTTAACCCAGAGCAAACACACATGCATTTATGCTGATTAAGGGTCATTCAGTCCTAATGTACTCTCATCTTCATTCTCCCCTTCCCTGTCCCCCTTCCTGGAGCAGAGGACATTTTGTCCAGAGATCCATGCTTGCCTGTCCCTAGAATACCTTGGTACTTATTGGAAAAGGAAAAATGCAAAAACTTGCGGGTGTGGTGTGTGTGTGTGTGTGTGTGTGTGTGTGTGTAGTGTGTGTGTGGGGGGGGTGTTGTCATGGTAACTGTTTTGTCTGCCAGGCACGGTTCACAGCAACCAGAGCATCTGGCAGGATCCAAGAGGATATCCTATGGGTTCTGCCCACTGGGACTCTGCTTCAGACACCCAGATGGGCACCTGGGGAAATTTCTATAACAGAGCCTGTCAAAGAGCTCCTCCAGGCAGTTCACCATGATTAACTAGAAGCCAGGTACAGGCACCTGACCACCTTATTCTCCCGTTAAGTGGTATTCCAGATCCCCCTTGTAAATCACAGATAACATTTACAAAGACTCAAGACAGCAGGTATTAACCCTTCAAGACCTTTTTTTTTTTTTTTTTTTAAGACAGTGACCTTCTCTCTCAGCGTCTTGACACATGTCCTACAAAGAAAGTTATTTTTATCTACACAGGAGTGTAGATGACAGAAACTTTGTTTAGTCAGTGTGATAAAAGACTGGGTACGCACTGGGCGCAGTGGTGCATGCCTRTAATCCCAGCCACAGGGGAGGCTGAGGCAGGAGGATCACAAATTCAAGTCCAGTCTGGGCAATTTAGACCCCATGTTGAAACAAAAGATAAAAAGGGCTGGGGATGTAACTCAATGGTAGAGTGCACCTGGGTTCAATCCTCACTACTGAAAAAGAAGGAGAAGGAAAAAAGAAAGGAAGGAAAGAAGGGAGAGAGGGGGGAGATTGTGAATAAAATAAACTGCAGGGTACAATCCCAGAACTCAGTTTCCTTTGACTTTAAAACCTCATGAAGTTTTTAGATGCAGATATCTCAATGTACTTGCAGCTAGGCTGACTTCTCTCCAGCTCCTCCTTTTATTTCTCTCAATATTCAAGGTTAACCTCTTAGTTTCTTATTTAAAACCCCCCATTCCAGTTTGGAATTTCATGTCCCCCCCATTCTTCCCACTGTCTTTTTAGCTGCTCTCAAGGTCTCTTTCTGCTTAGAAACACTGCCCATAATAATTTCCCCCCTCTTTTTTTATATTTATTTTTTTAGTTATAGGTGAACACAATGTCTTTATTTTACTTTATGTGGTGCAGAGAATCGAACCCAGTGCCTCATTCATGCCAGGTGAGCACTTTACCTCTGAGCTACAACCCCAGCCCCATAATTTCTCTTCTCTTTGAGACTTTCCCCAATTTTTTTTTAAAAATTTTTTATTTAGAGACAGGGTCTTACTGAGTTGCTTAGGGCCTTTCTAAGTTGCTGAGGCTGTTCTTATTTATTTATTTTTTTTAGAGAGAGAGAGAGAGAATGAATTTTAATGTTTATTTTTAGTTCTCTGCGGACACAACATCTTTGTTGGTATGTGGTGCTGAGGATCGAACCCGGGCCGCACGCATGCCAGGCAAGCACGCTACCTCTTGAGCCACATCCCCAGCCCTCCCCAATTTTTTTTATACCACTTACTCATAG